AACATCATCTCTGAAAAATGATCAGTGCCCTCCCCCAGGAACCATGCAGTCCCCTACCTGCCTGATTAGACACAGTGGCTTTGGAAAGAGAAAAGTCAGTGTGGGCACCCTTTCTCAGGTGCATCTGGGTATCAGGGACTTCCCCAAGGATCTTTCACTTCTCTAGACCCTCAGTTATATGTCCATCCTGAGCCCACCACCCATGGCTGTCATCCTTAATAAATGACTAACTTTTTTCAGATTTTAATTAAAATTATTCATTTGATCAAATTTGCTATGTATCACCTTCAGCTGGGTAAAACCAAATCTGTAATTATTTTAGTGTTTAGGTAAACATTAGGAAACTTGTAATCTTTTTCCTTTTTGATTAATCTTCAAATGTTTGATGAGGCCATGGAGTGGAGGAAACATAGACCTTCACCAGGAATGCCTGGCCTGGAGTTTGACTGTGTGCAGCACGAGCTGAGTCATCTGCCTGTTCAGGCCAAGTTTCCTCATCTAGATGGCAGTTACTCATAATGCCATACCACTGGATCTTTGGAATCAATAATACATCCCCAAGAAGTGCTTTCAACAAAGCCTATCACTAAGCTATTTCAATGGCTGATGGTGATAACGGCAACAAAGAATACTAATTTTCGACACAAATTCTGAACATTTTCAATGGAATTAAACTATTTGATGGTATTTATCAAATTTTATTTAAGAAAATTGCCTTTTTTGTATTACAACATGGTATTTTCATAAACAATGGATAAAATTTGTTGTATGTAAATTAGAAAGGCCATTGGCTCATTAAAGTAAGAAAAGCTTCCAAACACATCCATCTGTGTCCCTTGAGAACAGCCCAGACAACAGGGTCCATATTGGTGAGTGAGGTTTTAGTCATATTGTTAAGGGTCTTAGTCATATAGTTAAGGGTATCAAGTAAAGATTTGGAAAAGGATCCAGGCCCACAGCGTGATAACAGCACATTAACCAATGCATCAAAGTTAATTTAAACTGGCAATGGCCAAGTCTGCAGTAGAGCAAATGTTGGGGTCACAATGCGTGTATGAGGGGAAGACTTTCCTCCTTGTGGAAACCCACCCATCCTCCTAGGCAGCACTATGGATTTCCAGGAAGCCATTGTTGAAAATGAGAAAACACAGGAACCTAACTTTGCTGGTTGGCTTTCCATTACGGTGAAAGACACCTGAGATAACCACCTAAGGAAGAGGAAAGGTTTGCTGTGGCTCACAGTTTTGGAGGTTCTAGTCCATGATTGGATGGTCCTTTTGCTTTTAGGCATATGGTGAGCTGCAGATCAGAGCAGGGACACATGGTAGAGAGGAGACGAAGGGAGGGGCCAGCATCCAATAGCCCCAAAGGTCACTCCCCAGTGATTCAACTTCCCTGCACTTAGCCCCACCTCTTACAGATCCCACACCTCCTAACAGTGCCATAGACAGGTGTGGAGGCTTCTACACAGGGTTTTAAAGGAGAGGTAAGACCCACATTCCTGCACCAACCATGACACACACACACAAGCAGCCAAGTTTAAAACTGCTACTCACTTGTAAAAAATAAATGTCAGTCTCCCAGGGCACCTTTCTATTTTATGGCAAAAGGCAATGCCAGTTCACCCATTGGAGTAAAAGTAGATAACACTAAGACATTTTAGCATTAAAATTTAAATGGAGGAACTGAGGATTATTTCAGCAAACTAGAAAGAAGAGATACGGGTTTTTTTTTTTTTTAAAAAAAACTAAGGGTAACAATTGTCCATGTAGCACACAATAAGCTGCTCCCCCAATACAGTCATACACGAGGAATTGACTAACACTGTCCCAGCAACAACAAAACTGCCAGTCTGAGAGAGTATAACACCAGGAAGCTCAGAAAATATGTTATAAAGTGTGTAAAGACATATTTACAAAATTAGATTATCATTCTTATCAAAAACATTACGATTATCAAAAGTCAAGATAAAATTTTTTTTAAATAACAAAACTTGCCTACAGTGTCCTTCAAAATATTGCCAAATTTAGAAGAATTTAACTACTACTTTTGAAAATACTGAAAAAAAAAAAAAGCACAAGTGACTTGTAGGAAAATCCTGAACTTTGGTTCTGAACTGTCATTCTGAATAGGAGCAGGATGACCATGCAGATCATACCTCTTAAAAATGTATATTGCATGGACCTAAAATAATTTTTGTTTGATTACTGAGGTCCTTTAAAATTGAACTAGTTCATATATTAGTGTCCTGCGGCAAAGTCAAGCCAGCCTTTTTAGAAATGTATGGAACCAGAGACAAATGCACAGTGTTCCTGTTCTAGACTTTTAGGGGTCTCATGTTGTGGGTGCCTGTCTGAACTCTGGCCTATGGTCTCACTGTTCTTGATGCTATATTTTTGGAGGGCCCACAGCACCTGGATCTCTTTAGGATTGATTGGTTTCACTATGAAGTGAAGAGCCTGGCCTGGGGTGTTGCTCCTCTGGCAATTGGCTTCAGACACCTAACACTGGTCCACGGGTCTCCATTTTCTCACTTGGAAAAACAGGAACCCGTGGGCTCATGAGCTACACAACAGTGAGGAATGGGTCACATCGTGGTGATTTTCATATATCACAACATATTTAAACTTCCACTTGCTGGATTTCACTTGCTCCTAAATTTATCCACAGTGCCATTATTTGACAGAAACACATTTGATTGCACTTATCTGCTCTGATTAACCTTCAGAGAGTTCCTTCTGACAGTGTATACTGATTGTAACATCTTTCTTCTTGAACTTTCTGGTTCTTTTGTATCAAGGAAATAAACAGCTATCCTACGTTTCCTGTTCATAACTTAAATTATAGATTTTTGTTCAACTGCTTTATGCTTTGTCTGGTATTTCAGTAAAATATGTGTATTAATATTGTGCTGGCAACGCCACGTCTGTTTCTCTCTTCAAATTATTTTTGCTGTATTTGGCACTGTCTTTATTCTGCTCAAACACATCTGCTATTCTTGGAGGGAATTCTGAGTTATATTTTTCTGGATTTGGAAACCAAGTTACATTTGTTTTATAAACCATGATACTGAAGCAAATAAAGCAACAAATACATTGACATTTTGGACAACCTCCAATTTTTATATTTATGAACAGATGTATCACACACACACACACACATCCTAGTAAGTTCATAAGAGATATGCTATACTCTTCCTTAATATATTTTTATTTCATGAATCAGTTTTGAATATAACTACTGAAGTTAATTCACAGCAAGAAAGTGAAAGATATACACTCTTTTCTCATTCTTTAGGCAGAAAAGTGCTTAGAATCTAAGGTGCAAGATCATCTCACACTGTCCCTGCCTTGGTTTCCCGCAGCTGAGAAAAATCCTTTTTATTTTTATTTATTTATTTTTTGGTTATTATCTATTTTTTAGTTGTAGTTGAACATAATACCCTTATTTTATATATTTATTTTTTTTTATGTGGTGCTGAAGATCAAACCCAGGACCTCGCGCATGCTAGGCACGCACTCTACTGCTGAGCCAAAATCCCAGCCTGTTGAGAAAAATCTTGATGTGGAACTGAAGACCCTGCACTCAGACACAGAGGGAACAGGAGCCGAGGAGACGGCTCAGCAGAGAGATGACACCGTTAACATTATAATAAATAGTTTTGAATTTTGGTATTTGAAATATTTATCTACATGTTGGTCTAAGAATTTACATTTTCTCATACGCAGTGTACAGTGAGATTTTTCCTGGTCTATGGTTAGTTCAGAGGCATCTGGGAAGACCTGTCTCTGTGAGCAGTGATAGATCTGATTAGAATCGCTACAATAACTTTGATGACATGAAGGGAAGAAAATGGAATGGCAAAGTCCAATCCAAAAAGCCTCCTTGAGTCAGCTGCAAGACCCATGCAGCACCCCGTAGCCTCTCCCCTCTCTGAAGTCTCCTGGGCCTCTGCAGTGTGTGGGTTAGCAGCTTGCAGGAGGCTTCATGGCAGCACAAAGACCCTCTCAGCCTCACAGACTGGGGCATGGATGGAAGGCCAACAGGAAAGGTCAGAGGTCAGCAGGCAGAGTCAGGCCCCCCCCTGCAGAGCCTCTCCCCCAAGCACTGGCCACATCTCTCCTGCACACTGGGGCAGCCCCAGGGAGGGTGAGCCAGGTGAGCACCCTGCAGGATCCATGCTCAGTCATCCTGAGCAAAGAAGCAGGGCCAGCAACAATGGGCCTTTTGAAAGGAGCTTGCAAAAGCGAATTTTATTGGACTGTTTAAAGTGTTAAAAGAAATATGACCCCCTAAGGCAGAAGAAAAATAAAACCATAAGTTGCCTTCTATTCCCTCAGAATTGGCACCAACATGCTCTGACATTGGCTCCACTATGTCTCTGTCCCCAGGAAGTGTGAGGTTTGTCCTGCATCTTATGCTGGGCGTGAGCCTCACTCGCGGGCATCATCCAATGTGCTAGACCAAATGGAAGGACTGGAGTCAAATGCTGAAGCGCATATGCTAGTTCAGGACTCACAAAGGCAACACTCCCGGGGCAGTTCATCCCATGTGTGCATGCTTAATCCAAGTACTCTACTTTCCTGCACTTCCTTGGGTCAGTTCCATTAGCCAGAGAAAATTTCACAACTCACACCATTTAATGTATACAGAGCATCTGGTGCCTGGACATGTTGTGTTTATGGAACATCAATTGCTCGGGGAACATATGGCATCTGCCGAGAGTCAATTTTGGCAGGAGCTCTACTGTGGAAGAGCACCAAGTGCCTGCAGACGTGCAGTATCTAGACACGTAGTGTACGTAAAGCATTTTGTGCCTGCAGAGCATAAAGAGTTTGCAGGACACCTCATGTGGGCAGACACTTGACATGTACAGATCATCTAGTGCTTACAGTCTGTCAAATAAGTGCAAAGCATCCAGTGTGTGCAGAGTGCTGAGCTGGTGCCGAGGCTGGATGCCCAACTCTGGGTTGCAGGCTGGGCATGAGGAGAGTACTCACCACGTTGCAGCCTGCACAATCGGGCCCATTCTCACAGGTCCTGCGGCGAGCTTGAATGCCACCACCACACTGGGCTGTGCACCGTTCCCAAGGACCCCAGCCTGTCCAGAACATGTGCGGTGGGCACAGCAAATGCTCATTGCAGTATCTGTCATAGGGAAGGAATCCAAGAGGAAAAGGAAATTGTTAAGTGCCACATGAGACAACTGAGCTTCCCACTCTCCATCCCTGCACCAGAGGCTGCGCACATGGGCATGCTCTGCGTGGAGGGGCTTGTTGTATTTGCAGTGGTTGCACAGGACAGGAGGCAGATGTGGTGCTGGCCATGCTGTGTGCACAGACAATGGAATGCACAGCAGACAATGAAGAAAATGCTCAACTCACAATGCAGGATGGATCTTCCTGTGCGGCCAATTAGAGGAGAAACAAGACAAAACAAAACTCTTCAAATAGACACCCCAAAATAAGAGCAAAGAGAAACTAGCTAGGCAGGGCAATTATCTTCTAAACACAAACATCGGAAGATAAAGTAGGTTAAGAACACAAACCCAGCAGAGCTTTATTTGGATTCATTTCTCATTCCTGAATCAAGGAAGTCGCATCATCTCATTAGGGTAAGTGAAAGCGTGAGTTTGGCACAAAGGCCCATGACATTTACTGCTTAGGTTCTAGCACTTTTAAATTTATTTTTAGGCTCTCAGAATGTTGTTAAATGACTTTAATTTAAAAGACGACAGATTATTTTAAATGAGTTAGTATACAATTCTACACATATTTGTTGTATTTGCAGTGATTCAGTTCTAGACTTCTACGCACACATCCATTTTATCAATTTTTAGACAAATACCCCCAAACCCCTTTAGCTCCAGGATTGGTCACATTGCTGAATAATCCTATGGACATGAAATGAATTGGGGAAAATGAACAAAAAAATAAACTGACCCCAAACAAGAAGTCACTCTGAATACAGCCTAGTTCAGCCAGTCACTTCTGGTTATTTAAAGGACTATTTAAACTCAATAGTTCACAGCCTCAGGTGAATAGGGGCTCACAAGAGGCAGAAGAGGAAAACACCAACTAAACACACGGGGGTACTTGTACCATAACCTGCCGTCACTCTGAATGTGCCACACACCAAAGGAAATGCATTTCTGGAGCAGAAGATGTAGGCAAGTGGTGGCCAGCCACCAAGGAAAGGAGTTTGGGGAGTGTAGTTTCTTTACAGAGGATGCTGGGGAGGGTCAACTATTCTTCTGTCAAACCAGAACCTTCATGGAGAATGGGAGGCTTCAGGAATGGCTGGAGCACAAAGCAGGAAGCGAGGCCCCGTGGAAATGGCCAATAGCACGAGCACATGGACACCCGCTGGTGTTCAGGGAGACATGAGAGGTAGACATGAGAGAGCAAGGTAAGAAAGGTGATGGTGAAAGTCAACGGGGGGGGGAGGGGGGGGGGGGGGGGAGGGGGGGGGAGGTGACAGGCAGCGGAATGAGCTGGCTTCGCCAGACAGAGGGAAAGAATGCGAACTTGGTTGGCAAGAAAACAAGGAAGTCCCGTGGAGCTCTGCAGACAAAAGAGCACTGTGGAGCTCGAGTGAAGGGTCATCTTGTGGGGTGGGCACTGATCCCACAGGTGGCCTGCAGACCCTGAGGTCTGAGGAGCTCCCCAAGTTTCCGTGTGGGGCCTGAACCTTCAAAAGAGAGGGGAGGCCACCAGCAGGAAGTGCAGATACCAAATCGTGGAATCTGGATGGCAGCAATGCAAATGAGGGACAGGCCGAGATATTCAGGTGCCATGGTGGTGGGAAGAAGGGGGAGGAAGGAGGAAGACAGGGCTTGGTAGAGTGGATACGGTGCAGCAGTAATGGAGTCCACAGAGCCTCCCTGCTGAAGGCTGGAGGCCCTGTTACTTCCAGGCAGAGGTCACTGCCAAGGGGCCCTCAGGGGGTCAGGGAACAGACCACCAGCGTAGTTGCTCTGAACATTCACATTTAAGAGTGGCCAATAACCTGGACAGTTCCCACTCCTCATCCTTCCAGGGTTTCAGATGTGGAAATGCTAGGTTTCCTTCTCAAGGAAGCAGTATTCCAGTGCTGAGCCTCAGGAGAGGACACTCTCAAGTGCCTGGGGACAGGGGAGGAGCCCCCTAATCAGGAGAACATGGCCTCAGGGGGAAGACTGAGGCTTCAGTAGTGAGACTCTGCCTTGGGGAGTCTGCCTGAAGCACAGTATTCCAAGAAGTAAATGTTAGCTCGGTGCTCCCAGTATTCCAGGAGGAGCAGGTTTTAGCGAAGCCAGGAAAACTCAGGACCTCAGAACACACTCGCGGTTAATTCTAAACGTCCACGTGTATGTACATAGAACCATTTCTAAACTGATATTTAAAGGTATAACTTATTAGACTTGTTTTCCCCAATTTCAGTTTTCAGTGCACATGCACACTCGCATGCACACACAAAGGGCAGGAAGGGCAAAGGAAAGTCTTACTAAAAATGCTCATAGAGCCCTTGAATTTTAATAAAAAGCTCAGCAACTGAGCTACCATATCCCCAGAGGAAAATACATCATAATGCATACATACTTTCTTGTATTTGCCTGCAGCAAGCCACCTGTGAGAACTCTCAGCCTGTTATTATAGTTTCAGATCTACTGCAGGGTAACCTGTGCATGTAGACCAGAACTTTCCAACATTGTCAATAAATCATCTCCAGGGCTGCAAGTTAAGGTGGTCAGCTAATGGCCTTCTCTTTTTCCCTCTTTCTCCCTCCACAGTAGTCCTGTGAAACAGGCCACCCCAGGATTTCCTGAGTTGTCACTCTCTGTAATTCCAAGACTGCGATGAGAAAGGTCAGAGGGAAACAGAAATTGCTAGGCTATCTCTCCCTTTGGTGTCTGGATTTACCCTCAGGAATCCAGGCTGGAAGAGACTGCTCAGAGGCAAAGCCCCTACAAGGCCCCATGCCTGGATCCCCTGCCACTGTGAGAGATCAGTTTCCTTCTGGCTCTCCTTACCCTGACCCCAACCAGCTGCACCCCCAAGAGAAGCCCCCGCATTAAACCACAGGAACACCAACAATGATGGGAAACCAGAGACCCGGCATCTCTGCTTAAGGATCTTGATTAATTTACAGACCACACAACGGGCCAGTAGTCGGCTCCTCCTTTCTCCGGTTCCGAGGCTGCTGCTGGCCTTTACCAGATGACCAGATAAATGTTCCTAAATTTTTATTGGCTCTGTTAGGTCTCTAGTATCTTAAAGCAATGAAAGTCACAGATGCATTTCATGATGCATTAAAAATTAAGATTTTAATTTTGCTCATGACTGCTCATTCTTATTTTGCATTTAAAAGCTAACTGATGACCCACCGTGTTTCTCCATAAATTATCCATTTTTCCATAAGCCTAGTCTCTGTGAAGGAAAAGCCTTCACAATCCCACACAGGCAGGGTCTCAACACTGCACCATGCTGCTTCTCGCATTTCTTTATGCTACAAACCATTCCATTTCAGTTGAGTCCAAGGTAGTTCCTTACTACAACTTGTCAGGCTGAACCAGGGAGAGCCCTTTCAAGAACCATTTTCTCATTGTTCATGGTAAGTAATAATCCCTTTATTGGGGCATACTGGAGTAACTGAATCTATTATGCAGCCAGAAAAAAAACTGTGTGTATATATATATATATATATATAAAGTCCACCATGATATTTAAGACAACCTGTCAGAACAGAGTAACAATGTGCAGAAAACCTCACTTTGGTTTATCACAACCTGAAGCAAACATACCCATAATGACAAAAATAATCATACAATGAAATTCCATTGGTTCTTAAGACCCTGAAGTTTGGTAATGCATCGGACAGACTCTAATGTGGCCCACCTGATACCCACCTGCTGGACCTCACACTTTGCTTAATCCCCTCCAACTGAGGATGGGAGAGACAAAATTGCCACTCACTTCTAGCCAACAGAATGTGTCCAAGGTGATGAAAGTTACTGCTGTGATTATGTCATGTAAGATCATAATGCCTTTACTTTAGGGAAGTTTCTCTTTCTGTCTTTGAAGAAGCAACCAGTAAGGTGAGTAATGCCCTGGTATTAAAGAAGTGAGGGTATACTCTAGTTTATATCCAGTGAAAAACTGAGGCCCTTAGGTGGCCAGCCCGCAAGGTGGTGATGGTTGCCACAACTGACTGGTCTAAGAAGCAGAGGCCTCTCCTCTGAGCTCAGATGGGAGCCCTGGTGTGCACTCACCTTGCAGACTGCCACCCTGCCACCAAAGACAGCTGAGCTGTGTCCAGGCTTGAAACCCAGGGAAGCTGCAAGCTAACACAGGAGGTGCTTGAAACAGCACATTTGTGGTAACACTGTTATGTGATGACTAGTAGAACATATCATAGCAGTGTGGAGTATGGTGTTCCTAAAATAAAATCACCCCAAATGGGAAGGTGCCTTTGGGACCAGAGAAGAGGTAGAAGAAAGAATTTTGAGGAACATGATAGAGAAAGCTTAAATCAGCTTGTAAAGCCTATTAGTAGAAATTTGGATTTGAGGATGCTGCCAGCAAGGGTTTTAGAACAAACTAGGATAAATAACTAAACTGCATGATGAAAAAGACAAGCCAATTAGAAAATAGGAAAAGGACTCGATTAGATATTTCTTCAAATAATATATACAATGAGCACATTTAGTCATTAGGGAAATGCCAATCAGAACCATGGTAAGACTCACTTTATACACTTTATACTCACTTTATGCACAGTTGGGTGACTATAGTCAAAAGCAAGAAAATAGCGTTGGCAAGAATCTGGAAGAATTAGAACACTCATACATTGCTGTTAAGAATGTTCAATGGAGAGATCTTAGTGGAAAGCACTTTGGCAGTTCCTCCAAAAGCTAAACAAAGAATTAACATATGACCCAGAAACTTCAGTCCTAGACGTATGCACAGAAGAATTTAACAGGAACTTGAACAGATACCTGTACACCAATGTTCATCATCACACTTTTGGCAATATGCAAAAGGTAGAAATAGCTCAGGTGGGCACCACTTATGGCCAAATGGATAAGTGAAGGCACTTACAGCCATACAGCTGAATACTATTAAGCCTTAAGAAAGGAATGAGGTTCTGGTCCATCTACAATGTCCATGAACCTGAACTCATCATGCTAAGTGAGCCAAGGGAGACATCAAAGGGAAACACCGGGGTTCCACTTACATGAAACGCATATCATAACAGGCAAATGGACAGAGATGGGGTTGGAGGTTGCCAGGGGTTAGAGGATGGTAGGATGGGGATACACTGCTTAGGAGCAAGGAGAAGGCTATCCATGTGTTAACGGTTGTCAACTGTACACTTAAAAGTGGGTAAGTGGCTAGTTCACATTGCCTGTAATTTACTACAATAAAAATAACAAGGAGATAGGAGCATGTTATTAGAGACTGGAAGAAGGGAAAGCTTAGTTATCTAAAGGTAGAAAGCTTCCAAAATGATTATCTACCATAATCATGGAAAGAGGAACCTGTAGCCAAGCAGGTCACCCAACTTCAGAAACTCACGAGGACAGTGTGAAAGGTGCAGCCTCAGGACTTGCTGCTCACAATAAAATGTAGGAGGAGAGAGAATTGAGGGCCACTGCATTCAACAAAGCAAACAGAGGCGGCATGGTGTTTGGGAACCTGCTTCTCCTGATGCCAAAGATGACAAAATTAAGAAACAGCTTCTAAACACCATCAGGAAAAGCTGGCCTCGAGGGAAAGCTGAGTGTATTACTGTGAAAACTCAGAAATATAAGAGAATCAGAGTAACATGGAGTTCAAGCATAGCACCCTTCTAAGATGTCACAAGCAAGGGGTGGCTCAGGGATCCTCTTGGTCATAGGGGGACCCTAGGAGCAGGAGGGCTTTGTCTCCCAGGCTGCTGGGGCACCCGAAGGCACAGTAGGGCTATCTTAGGAAGATCTGCAAGTGTGGCTTCTGTCCAGTGGGGGGAAACCCATGAAGAGACATAAAGTTCTACTGAAGGTTATTTTAGCAAAAATACTACCAGCTTGGATTAAAAGGGACAGAGAACGTTTAAATGAAAGCTTGTGGGAAACCCAGCACAGCACGGGCAATTGGGCTGACAGGCTGCAGGTGCTTGATGCCTTTAAGAAAATAGGGATGAGCCAGCCGTGGAGACAGGAGCAAATTGGGCAGATCCAGACTTCAACCGAGCACCTCCCAAGGCCTGCCTGGCTAGGGCCCGGCATTCCCAGGGAGCAGCGCGTTCTGTTCTTTCCATCTTCCTCTTTTTAAACATCTCCTGCTGGCATTCTTTCCCTCCCGACTGTTGCATATCGAGTGAGAACTTAGAGGACAGCAGACCAAGAGGCCCAGCACCCAGGGAGCCTCATGCGTGTCTGAGACTGACTTGAATGGTAAAATCCTGGGCTTGGGGAAGATGACTAATAGGATAAGACTTTGGGGGACCTTGGGATTAAGTGAAAGGCATTTTGCATGTGGAGGGCATGAGTGACAATGGAACAGAGGTCACCTGTGGCAGACAGACCCTAAGGAGACCCTGATGGCGCTGGCCCTGACATGCACACCCTGAGACATCTCCTCATCCTGACAGGGCCTGTAGCTGACTTCTGACCAAGAGAATATGGCAAGCATGGGTCCTCTTATGGTTCCGTTACCTTGGACTGGGCTGCCATCTTGGAGGACAATCCTGGACAGATTTGAGGGAGAAAGACCACGCAGGGGAGGGTCATGTGTCTAGAAGCTGAAGCCCTGACTGGCCATGTGCATAGGATTCACGTAAGCTCTGTAGGAACACCAGTCACTCTAAGACTGTGAAATAATAACCCAGTGTTGTTTTAGTTTGTGGAACGATTATGACACAGCAGGCGAAAAGGAATACATATAATCACATCATATTTTGATAATATTTATAACAAAGTCCCTTTCTTCTATCCATTGGTGGCCCTCTTGGTGCCTTTAATTTTTTGGATACTCGGGAAAATCCAAGGAATAGAAAGAAAATAAACCATCCACACATGCTAATGTACATGTATACTTTAAGTGAATTATTTTATTTATCTATTGATTTTTTTAAAGTAGTGTGAAAATTTCAGAGATTATTGATACAATTAAGCTCCCACACATTGGAGATTTTGTCCCAAAGTCACTAACTGTGATCCTGGCATTAATTCAGGGATTTTTTTTTTTTTTTTTTAGAATACAATTTATTTTCTTTTGGTCACCCAGGATTTCTTTAGGTTTGATGGTTTTTAAATAAGCATGATCTTGTTAATCATTTAATGTGCCTATTCCTTAGAACTTTGTACCTTCCCATGGAGATCATGGTCTCCTTTAATCTAATCTCAAATATCTCCGTTGTCAGAATGAGCAAAGTTTTCCTTTGTTTTACTTAAATGGAGAGACTTCTTTTGCAACAGGGCAGAGATTTCTAAGAACCTTTTGCTTGTGAAGATGAAGGCCTATCAGATACTTAGTTTTTGTTGTTGTTGTTGTTTGGTTGGTTGGTTGGTTTTTCACACAGCAAGACTATTCAGTAGAGAGACTTCAATTTCATGAAAATATTATATAGTCTCTGTCTTTACCATCTTCTTCTTCATTGCTGAACTTAAGTTTTCCTCCAGTAAGCAAGCACATACCCAGCCCTAAAAGATGTTCATTAGTCTAATGGCCACAAACCACAGGCCATTCTTTCTCCAGATCTTTTTCTGCAAGCACAGCTTTATGAACAATGCTACTCACATACAGAGCGTGCATGTACTGTGGCCGCAGAGGTGGGCAGCGTCTTCCTGTCCACCTTGTTACGCTGTGGCAGCACCTCAACTCCAGGAAAGCCTTTGCACAAATGAAGATGTCTTTGCCCAGTGGACTGCACTACCTGACAACTCCCAGCACTCAGAAACTTCCCATCAGTTTTAAATATAACAAGGTTCATAAATAGCATGGAGACATTTTTCCTATAATTGGCTTTCCCACTTCTCAACTGGTGTTAGACGGAAAATGACAGACCTGTACAGGACCGTCTCACAGGACTATTTCAAACACGACCATCTTCCTTTCCCTCCTATTCAAAAGAATGAAATGTTATTTGGTAAGTGAGCAACATAGTGAGGAAAGAAAGAATGGTTCTCCCTAGTTGATTTCAGGTTGTAATAAATTCCTATGAGAAAACTGTCCACACAGCAAGCCTGTTAGTATTTATTTTTATTTTTTAAATATATAAGTACTAATTGCACCACAAATAACTATTCACAGTGCTTTTGTAAGACATTTTTTTGGAATGCATGACACCAAATACAAGCCGACTACCTTTTCATTAAAAGGCACTGGAATAATAACTTGATGTCAGTACAGCAGAATAAGAATCCAGAAAGTTCTATGAAATTCACCTATGTGGGGTTTTTCTCCCAATAGTGACAAAGTGGAACACATATTAAAAAGACAAGAAAGATTTAATGATCACAGCTATGAATTATGAGGATGAAACCAAAGGTCTCATTCTAAAGGAAGAAACAAATGACTAGATCCAAGACTAAACTGACAGACTGTGGTGATGTGATGGAAGGTTAAGATGCACATGGAAAAGAATCCCCACTTCAGGTCCGATGCATCTTCCCCGAGGGTGTTTGTTAACAATTGGTGTGTGGCTGTGAACACAACCAAACCCTCAGTGTGTTTGCACCTGTATTCCAGCTGCTGCACATTGTTCTGATGCAAACTTTACCTGCCCCACAGCACCTGGACCTGACCCTTTTGGTTCTCCTGGGAATTGCAGCTGTGGGGACTGGTGTAGCTGAGGTCTCTCAAGAATAATCGTTCTCCAGCAGACTCATCTTCTGAGTTTCCAGGAGCCCATCTGAGAGAGGCCTGCAGCCTGGGTATCTCCACAGCCTTGGGAATTCCTCAGCTGAGCCAGCCCAACCATGCAGGCAGCAGAACGGGAAAAATGCTCTTAATAGGAGGCTTTGGTCAAAATAAAGATGTCACAAAAGGAAGAGGATAATTCAGCTCAACCAAAAGGGATGCCACAGATAAGCTCAGCTAGATCCAAACGGAAACTGACCACACCGGATGGGAGGAAGCTGGGGATGCTCTGCTGGGCAGCTTGGCACGTACCTCTCCTCACGGTTCTGGCCCACACACACCCGGCCCCCGTGCCTAGGGGTGGGGTTGCTGCAAGAGCGCTGCCGCACCTGGAAGCCGATCCCACAGGTAGTGCTGCAGGGCGACCACGAGGTCCAGGGAGTCCAGCCTCCGTTCCTGGGGAAAGGAAGCCACACAATCACTAGGTCAAACTGGTGCAGAGTCCAAGCCCCTGCGCACCCACCGCAAATGCACATGGCCCTGGGTCACCACGTGACTGTGGTGCCCCGGGGAGAGGGAACGCCAGCGTGGCCTGAATGGGGGGCTGGGCCAGGCGAACTTCAATGACTGTGAGCCCCCTACCCCCTGGCATCTGATTTTAGGGGTAAGACAGGAAATTTAAAAATGCAATTTTAAGCGTACTGTAAATCATTTTAAATGAGCAGTATCATGAGACTTTAAGAAACTTTAGTCATGAAAAATGTTAATAGTTTATTTTACTAAAAAGCAACTAGAAGTGAATCCCTAAACATCTAGATTCTGTGATTCTGTTTGACTTGTATTGCATCCATTATCATCTCTGGAAAGTGCAGCTGTGAACCAAAGAGTCATTTAAAACTCTACCGACACCTCCTTTCAGGTCTACTAACATCATTGAGAGTGAGCAACCCTCCTGAGGGGATCCTGTAGCACAAAGAGTGCTACCAGGCTCGGGTGTCAAGTCAGACTTCTGATACAAGTGAAGGAGGAACATTTAAGTTCAGATCCTTGAAAAGTGACAAAATATAATCAGCATAAACAAGGAGAGCAAATTACATGAATCTGTCTCTATGCATCACAGACATACAATAATGTAGATAGAAAAAAATTATGAAATAAAAGTAGAATTAGATGATTTTATAAAATAAACCATGATTGACAACAAGAGGAATTATTTCAGTATTATATTTTTTTCCTTAAAATGCCTAAATTCATGGTCATTTAGACATCTCCCTTAGCTATTCTTCCCTGATATTAAAAAATAAATTGTAGGTATTTGGGGATTTTAGGTATTCAGATATCAATTAAATGCAGAGTTCAAACTCCCCGTAGAGGGTCTAGTGCATGTAGGGCCATTTCTACTTCTATAACCACATGTGGATTTGCATGGGCACTCCTAACCTCACCCATGGGATCTGCATTTCCACAGGGTGGGGAAGTCAACTCACATTAACTCTGCTTTTCACTTTGTACATTCCTTTAGATACACCAAAGTCCACAACTATGCCGCTGAAAATACAGGTATAAATAATAATTTAAACCTTAACTTTAAGACAGTCTAAAATGAAAACTCCTCAAAGAAGTTTCTTAGTGTATCTAATATTCCCCACTTTATTTGCTGAAACTTAGCAGAGATATAAATAAAATCTACATTATTAGCCTTGTGCATATTATAATAAAGCTGCTTTATGGTAAATTTAATCAAAGTAAGACTTCCGTGTTTTTCTTAAAAGTAATTAGCTAGTTTCCTTACCCTCTAACTATATTCTTACATATTACTCAAGTAATTAATTGAAATATTCAGCTTATTTACATATAAAATAAATGTTAGATGATGCTGAAAATACTGCTTTCAAAATTGTTATGAAATTCTTAATTCCCTACATTTTAACAAACGTGGAATTTTATGATATATTCTTATAATATGCAGAATAAGTGATGAAATAAATGAATGCAATTGCAAATGTATGTGTTCACTACACGGAACTGGGTTGACATGCTTCTAAATGCTGTCTAGTGGTAGACACAGCAGCAGGCAACCAAAAAAGCCTCACAGACTAATCACATATCGTCAGCTGGAACATCTCAATGATTAAGTGTGTATAAGACAATTCACTTACGTGTTTAAAACATTGCTAGAACTGGTTCGCTTATTTGATTTTTAAGTTTAAAATAACCACCCGTTGTATTTCAAGACTACTTAGAGAATGACTTTCTGACTATAATAAACACTGAAGATGTATAAATAAACCAGCCAACAATGCACTCAGATAGCTCTTTTATAATTAAGCAGTATAGAAAGGACATCAGCCACTTATGGTGATCTTCAGATGGTGGCAGCTTGGCAGCATTTATGAAGGTTCTGTCTGTCATCAATGGTGGCCACTTTAAATGTGGACAGCAGGCAACACACAATTTGATGGTGCTAGTGCCTTCTGTCGTACTAACTTATCTCTTCAGCCCCAAATGGCTCCTTCAACTTTGTGGGTGAGCCAATTACCCTGCAAAGACTGTCAGCAGATGCCAACATCACCTGTCCTATCGGCATGTCCCCTTTCTTATCCCTTCTCTAGGGCAGGCTGAGACTTTGATCCCCCCACAGGATTTCCTCTGTCTGTGACTTCATAGACAAGTGTCCACATGCTCTCTGCATGTTTAGATGGGCGCAAGAAGAACACTTTTTAACAAACATTCTGCGTTGGTGTACAAGCAAGGAGGGTGCCTGAAGACGGTCTCAGAGGATGTACTGATGTTTGTGGTCAGGGTGCTACAGGAGCAGGGCAAGACGTAAACTAGTGTAGCTTTATAAAATTTATATATTTATCAATTTTTAACAGAGAAAACAGGAAAGCTACTCCATGGATCACATTATTTGAAGTGTTCTCCTGGTCACCCAGAGCCCAGTGTCACTAAGTGGAGACCTGAGCTCTGACTACGGAGCTGACTTCTGATTATGAAAAGGCTTGGCTTCTTCTATCTTCCACCTAATATGTTTGTTCTGCAGTGGGGGCGATTGTCTATGAACTGCAGAAATAGTTTATTTCAGTAACATGGACACACCCCCGAACCAATCCAATCGTACCGTGTAAATTCATAATATTTTCCCCACCCTAATGATGAGCATATGAACAGGTTTAGATTTATGATCTAACTTGTAGTTTTAAATTCCTTCTAATTTATAATTTATTTTTTTCTTCCCCAGACCCCGTAATTTTTAAGAGGTGGATGTCCCCGGTCTTTTCGCCCCCTCTTGTCTCCTAGGAAAGGTGTGCATTAGGAATGATTTACCGAATGCCCCAGCACCTGAGTACACCAGAGCGGTCTAGGGGACGCACCTGGAACAGTTGGCGATCTCCATGCTGGGGCCTTCGCACTGCCAGCCGCCACACTGGGGGGCCGGGCTGTCACAGGAACGGGACCGGCAGAGGCAGGATCCCACAGCAGTGCCATCCATGTGCGTGCAGGGCGTCCAGGGAGACCATGGTCCAAAGTGCCCGTCCACAGTGAGATTCCTGATCTAGGAGCAGACAGAAGTGAGAGTTCTGGGAAGTGTTAAACTACAAGCCAGTCGGAGTGACCGGGGAAGAGCCCTGGAGACATCAGAACCCGCAGAATGTTTCTAAAATTACAGGGATGTGTGAGGGACCAAGTCAAAGTGGAGCCCTGGGGTCAATGGTGGGAGAGGGAGTTACAGAGGAAAGAAGAAGGAAAAATGAGGGAAAGAAAGAGGAGGGGGGGATGAGAGAGTGAAAGATGCCCCTGACCTGGCGATAGGGTTTGGGAAGTATGGTCCCCTGATATGGGAAATCCAAGGAGCAAGATTAACGGGAGTGAAAACATCACCGAGGCACACACCTGTTGCCTGTGGTAAGTACATTATTGAAAATGAAACATTGGTGGAGTAGTTATGGAAACGCACCCAGCTCCAGGGGCGCCTCTACCTGGCAAGGTAGGGTTCACTTGCTCTGAGAGCCCGTGGGCAACGGGAGCTGCTGCAGCTCCGGGAGCCAGGTCCCAGTCAAGCCTCCGCGGCTCTGCAGGCCAGGGGACTCCACACATATCATTACCACCTGCAAAGTCCCATGTGGGTCACGACCAGGGCTATGGTCCCTGAGCAGGGGACAGTCAACAAGCATCTGGGATCTGGGATGGACACTTGTGTTGGCCCTTCAGTTGAAGAAGCTGCAGGTGAAGGAGCTGGCGAGGTCTGCTGAGGCTGGGGGCAGCTCGAGTCGTGACAAAGAGCATCATGGCTGCCAAGTGCTGAGTGCTCCCACGATTGTCCACCAGGAGAACATGCCCAGCTCCTGTGGTGTCCATCTGCAGCTCCTGCCTGGATGGAGACTATGCTGCTGCTCCAAGCCTTGCCTGCCATGCAGACTCAAACTACCAACTGCACAGATTCTCTTGACAAAGCAGCAAAGATCCTGCTGTTGGGGATTTTCCACATTCATTCTCCACCCTTTTAACGGCCTTCCTCTTGCCCTGTGCAGAAGACTCCTGCGAACACCATGACGGATCTGCAGTTACTCCCCCTGTGGTTTAAGCAGGCCTGTGCTAACAAGTGCTCACATGCTCTACACCCAGACCACTGCCTGATCCATGAACAGGGTCACTGTTGCTAAAAAGCATCAAGTGGCTTGACTGACCATGGAACTGGGATCCAGGAATAATGGTGACCAGACAGAACATTTGTACAGTGTTTACACAGTACAGGTCCATAGTACTCTATTCACACTGTCAGTACTGCTGTGACTGTGCTGTCAGGGACAGGGCACAGGGTGCTCTGGGGAGCCCTGCAAAGCCAGTTTTCCTCCACTGTGGTGCCCACAGGGTGCGTGTAGGCTGGAAGTGACACTGACAATATCACACAGCTGCCTGAGACAGTTCTATTTGGCTTCACAAACAAATAAAGTACCTGTTTGCCTTCATGCAAATGAAGATCAGGCTCAGACAAGACCAAGTCTGGACTATGAGGAACTCAGTTTTCAAGGGTCCCCAAATCTTAGCTGTGTCTGTCTGCCTCTGGCTTGGAGGTGTCTTGCTGGGAAGGAAACTGGTGACAAGAGTTCTTACTAGGGATAAAAAGACAAGGGACCTCCTACTATTTGGAAAACTCTCACATTGAAAACACTTTATAGCTTGTTTTTAATTGAGGACAGTTGGGGCTCATTGGGTTTGCTCAGGAATACAAGGTGCCTCCTGCTGAGCTGGCTATTGGTGAACGGATGCACAGGGCAGGACTGTGCCAAGCGGGTACCATGGTGCTGCTGTGTGTGACTCAGGGGCAGGTGATTGTCCTTCCTAATGACCCTTAACACACATTTAACAAACAACATGTGGCAGTTCACCCCAAGTGATGCAGAAAACCAAAGAGTTTAAAAACAGGGGAATTTTAAAATAGGGCAAAGTGAAAACATAACCAGAACAGCATGGTTACTTGAGATACCAACGTTCAAATGGTGAAACACATTATCTTCACCCTAAAATTTAAGATAAAATGCCTCTTCCTCCCTTGCAGGCCCGTGTTTCTGTGGATTAGACTTCAATCTAGCCATTTTGGGAGAAGAAACCCAGAAACTTCCAGAAGATGACTTCATCATCAGGAAAAAGAATCCCATAAAATGTAAAAGTAACCCATCTTTGTGACATCAGTGGGGTACCAAAGATGACAAACCTAGGGACTAAAAACTTGTCCTTGCCATGGTCCTGGTAGGAAACAGAACTCACAGTCCAGGAGACTATAAGGAGAATTAGATGAGATACCAGGAACCAAGGTGTGTGCTGAGCTAAGGAAACCTCCAAGGGGGGAAGATGGCCCCAGGACCCACCAGGTAGGAAGCTGTGGGTAACCCGAGTGCTGCGGTGGGAAATGAGGTGTCCCCAGAGGCTCCTGTGTTAATGCCAGAATATTCAGAGTGAAATGATTAGATTATGAGAGCTGTGTCCTGGTCAGTCTGTCCTAGCTTGAATGGACTGTGTGGTCACCATAGGCTGGTGGGACATGGCTGGAGGAGGTGGAGGAGGTCCAAGCTCTGGCCCTCTCCTCTCTCTCTGCTTCCTGGCTGCCATGAACTGAGCAGCACTCCTCCACCCACGCTTCTGCCAAGTTCATCTGCTCCACCGCAGGGCCAACCATAGACTAAACCTCTGGAACTGCTAGCCAAAATAGACTTTTCTTCCTCTAACTTGTTCTTGTCAGCTATTTTGATCACAGTGATAAAAAGCTGACTAACACTAGCAATTAGAGAAATGCACATCAAGTCCACTCTAAGAGTTCATCTCACTCCAGTCAGAATGGCAGCTATTATGAAGACAAACAACAATAAGTGTTGGAGAGGATGTGGGGAAAAAGGCACACTCATCTACTGTCTGTGGGACTGCAAATTGGTGCATCCAATACGGAAAGCAGTATGGAAGTTCCTTGGAAAATTGGGAATGGAACCACCATTTGACCCAGCAATCCCTCTCCTTGGTCTATACCCAAAGGATTTAAAAACAGCATACTACAGGAACACAGCCACATCAATGTTTGTAGCAGCACAATTCACAATAGCTAAACTGTGGAACCAACCTAGATGCCCTTCAGCAGATGAATGGATAAAAAAAACGTGGCATATCTACACAATGGAATATTACTCAGCAATAAAAGAGAGTAAAATCATGGCATTTGCAGGTGAATGGATAGAGTTAGAGAAGATAATGCTAAGTGAAGTTAGCCAATCCCAAAAAAACAAATGCCAAATGTTTTCTTTGCTATGAGGAAGCTGATTCATAGAGGGATAGGGAGCAGGAGCATGAGAGGAATAGAGGAACTCTAGATAGGGCAGAGGGGTGGGAGGGGAAGGAAGGGTACATGGAGTAATTAATGATGGTTGAATGTTTATTAATCATTATTAATTATTATTATTATTATCCAAAGTACATGTATCATTATTATCCAAAGTTCATGTATGAGGACCCAAATTGGTGTAAGTATACTAAGTATACAACCAGAGATATGAAAAATTGAGCTCTATATGTGTAATAAGAGTTGTAATGCATTCACTGTCATATATAAATAATAATAATAATAATAATAATAAAGCTGACTAACACACTAAGCTTGCAGACCTGAGGGGTGGCTAGGGTTGCTGCTGCCATTTGAGGGTTGCAGTCTGGTTAGAAGCAGCCCTGTTGAGCTGCTGTCATGGAGGCATGAAGCCCCTGTGAGAGGCGCAGTTCTGAACTGAAGAAGGCCCGGGGAATTCACCCGCTGTGGGCTCTGCCTGCCTACGTCCCCCAGTGGCTCCTCACTTGGCCAACAGTACATCTAAGAATAGACATGTGACCCAAATGGGGCCAATGAGGCTCAAAAGCAGACTGCAAGAAGCTCCCAGAAATCATTTTCCTCCAGATAAGAGGAAGAAACTCTTCTCTTTCCATCTGGACACTGGCATGTAAGGAGGCAATGTTCAGCGCATCCATCACCACTTTGTGAGCAAGAGGAGAAGGTCTGAAGAATCAGACCTGTTCCTGTAGTGTCCTTCCCAAACAAGGCAGCAGAATCAGACCTGAAAATGTCACCTCTTGATGTGTGGCAGGATGAAAATAGTCCTCTCTTAGGTTCTACCCACAAAGAACTCTATTAATATTAGGCATATGCAATCCTATTGAATACAGCCCATTTATACTATGTTTACAGAAAAAAAAATAAGATTCAAAGAAGTTTTTTAACTTGTCAACAACTACACAAGTAGTAATCTAGAGGAGTAGATAGGGATACTGGAGGGCCCTTTCCCCCACTAGTTCAGGGTTTTTGGACATCGTCACTAGTGAGATTGGGCTAGAAAGATAGTTCTTTGTTGCCGAGTGATATGGTTTGCATCTGGGATGTTCCTCTGAAAGCTCGTGGTAAGACAACAATGTTCAGGAGAGAAATGACGCATTGTGAAGGCTATTACTCCGTGAATGGATTAATCCATTTGATGGATTAATAAATTTGAATGGACTGCTGGGTGGAACGATCCACAGATGGGGCATGGCTGGAGGAAGCAGTAGCAGTATTAGGGGCATGACTCTGTGCACTCCGTCTTTTTCTCTTCTCCACCCCCACCCCGCCTCCTCTCTGCTCTCTGATGGCCAGAAGCTAACAGCTTTCCTCGGTCATGTTGCTCTGCCTCATCTCAGGCCAGAGCAATGGATCCAGCCAACCATGGACTGAACTCTGGACCATGAGCCACAATAAGCCTTTCCTCCTCTAGGTTGTCCTTGTCAGATGTTTTAGTCACAACTACAAATAACTAACACACAGGTGGTGGGAGTCTGTCCTGAGCAATGTAGAATGATTTGATCTTCAGTGACATTCCTGGTCTCCTCCCACTAGATGACAATAGTACCTCACTCCCAATATGTCAACTCAAAGTGTCTCCGAGCATGGCTAGGTGGCCCAGGGAAATGATCTCCTCCTGCTTCCCACCTGGAAGCAATGCCTGGATTTTCTTTGTGAGTTTGCTTTTTTTTTTAACCTTTAAGTCTGGCCTGAGATAACTGGGTTTTATGAAACTGTTCCTTTTCCAAGTATATGCCTGGGCAGAGAATGAACCAATAAGGATGACAGAGGAAGAGAGAAGAAGAATTTGAAATAAATGATAATGAATGAAGAGGGAGGAGGCCAATAGAACAGAGCAGAGATCCTCATAAAACACTAGGAAGGAAGAGAACTGCATCAGACACAGCATTAGTGGGAGCACAGAGTGAACCAATTCTGCAAGGTAGAGATGTGGCTTCAGGTCTGGCCAGGGCTGGGGTAGCTGCAGCCTTTAGGGGCAACAGTCAATCCAATGCCTTTGCAGTTGGTCCCATTACATTTACGAGCTAGGAGAACTTACAATCCTCAGAGAAGCATGGGAGTAGTACATGAGGACCCTACACCCTGCATTAAGCCGTGCACTTGTGTTGGCTTTGACTCTATTATAATTTTAAGAATCTGCCTAGAAAATAGAACTATGAACAATGGGGTGTGTTCTGTAGCTTTTCTTCTTCATATCTTCTTTTTCTTAGCTTTCCTTAAACAGACAATAAGAAACAAAGCCATTTGGAAGGAGATATAGCTCAATGGTAAAGCATTTGTCCACCATGCATAAGGTCCTGGGTTTGGTCCCAACCCTGGGGAGTGGAATAAATTATCTAGGATAAATTCTTTGTAGTTGTGATTTCTTCCAGATTTTTTTCAAGTGACTTTCTCTTTAGAGTTTGTGCTTTATATAATTATACATTAAATCTGAAACTATGATAAAACATGTACCAGGGATCATCTGTTTAGTATGCTCCAAGCACTAGTATGTACACATATTAACTACCTCACACTCTGCACCCCATCCGGTGTCTATCTCCCGAGGTAGAAAGCCGAGGCTTAGGTGGGATAAGCAATTTGTTCAGTCACTCTGGCTCTAAGAGTTCTGAGAATTAGTACAAACAAGCTGAGTGCAGAACCTGTGATCTCAGCCAGGTTATTCTGTAATGCAATTCTTTAGATCCTTTCTTGGTGAGAGTCTCAAAGAAATAAAATTTATATCATCATACACTCCTCATGGTGCAATAGCTAATTCCCCTTCACCCAGGAATTGCTAAATAAGGAAGATCCAATTTTTGTTAAGCATGACCTATAATCCTATGTTTGATTCATCATTAATGTTCAAATGATTCATTCTCAACTCACCAAGGTGTAGACATATTTGGTGAGTACAGAGTTCCCTGCCAGTACCCCTTTAGATTTTTACTATACTAAAACCTTTATCCTCTTATGACTAAATTAAAGTTTTATAATTTCTATTTGGATATATTTTCAGAATTAGTAGACCTTCCTTTATTTACTTTCAGATTTTCTTGTACCTTTTGCCACAGATAGTGTGGAGATCTGTAGGTGTCCATCTGGTCATGCATTTTGACAGCTGTTGCAGAATGTATTGTGGAACAGGAACTCACCACATGCTATGGTACAGAATACTGGTAATTCCATTCCCCCAGAGGATGTGGGTGGTGTTCATGTATAAATAAGGCCCAGGTAGATTCTGAAGACCCTTTTACCCTTGTTAACCAGTATGAGAAGCTACGCAGAACATATACATTATTCTTATCAATCTAGATAGACCAATTTAGATCTCCCTCAGTACTTCAGATCCCTTAAACTGATAGTCACGTTTTACATTACAACTTTGTGAGCAAACAGATTGCTCTTCAACATGTCAGCCAACCAGTGTCCTGAATTCTGGACTACAGAAACCCATAAACAGGTCACATAGGGCTCTTTTGGTAGAATATAGGTCCACATAATTCTCTATGACCCTGGGGTTTCTTGGGGTCCCCTCTCAATCCTGAACTCAGGGGAGCAGAGGATGTAAATAATCTGTGATTTGAATGTGTCACTCCAAAACGAGAGTGTTCCTAATGCAATAGCACTGAAGGGTGGCCTCTAATCAATCCATGAAGTCTCCTCTCTCCCTTATAGGGGCCTGAGAGAGGGGACTGGTACTCTCTTGGCCTTCCTCTTCCCCCAGGTAAGAGCACAGCAAGAAGCCCTAACCAAAGCAAATGCTGTGTATTATCTTGGACATCCCAGCCTCCAGAAGCATGAGAAGTGGATTTCTGTGCTTTCTCAACCACCAGGTTTAGGTGGTCTCTTACAGCAGAACAACTGAACAAACATAGCCATAGATCGCAGCCACCCTATCAGAGATGACTGGGAGATTCACTTTGGGGAGCTCAATGGTGCTGTATATTGGACTAAGGATACTGCAGATTTACTGGGTAGGTTCACACAAGAGGGCCTGACATTGGCATAGGACACACCTGCGAACCACTGTGCTTAATGCAGCAGGGTCTGCTTGCTTTCCTTCAGGATAGAAAACGCTTGTTCTCGGTCAGAACCTCAGCTTATAAAGTGATATTTCCTTTGGATAGATATTTATATTCATGTATATACAAGTAGATAAAGAAAAGTAAAGTATTAACTGACAATGCATTTTTTGCTTTGTTTTGTTTTTGTTTGTTTGTTTGTTTGTTTTGTATTTTAACTCTGAAATTAGCCTGCATCTTACAATCCATGCGAGTTTGTAACATAGAAAGCAATGGTACACTTCGCAACCAATGGCAAGGCAGAAATGAAGAATATAGTAATGTTAGCCAGTAAATAAGGTCTTTCTTCCATTTCAGTAAAAAATTAGCCTGGAACAAAATTTTTAATGACTTTCAAAAATATCTAAATTTACTCTATCTACACTGATGCCAATAATTTTCACCTAACTTACCCTTTTGTAAAAGATTATTAGACAATGATGAATAAAGAGCATTTACTTATTATTTATGAGCTAGTATCATTATTACAACCAATAATCAGAATAATAAGATAGATGGTACTTTTTATTTTCAATATGGCAGCATATATAAATTAAAAAATTATTTATTTATTTATCAGGTTTTTTTGCCCAAACAACATAATTTATTTCCTACTGTTGGCTTCTTTGCATGTTTTCAACTATCCAAAGCATATCTTGATATGTTACAAAGTCCACTGAGTAAGAGGATAGGAAAATGGTTGAGTGTAGTGAAATCACCTCGCATCAGAAGTTCGATCTTGCTACAAGTGTTCTGTGGCCCTCAGTCAGGAAACACACTTCAGCTCTGTGTGCAAAGCACCAGGGCAAGTCCATCTGTCTTTACTGGAAGCTGTCCTCTCATAAACAAGAAACAACTCTAATAACAACTCTCAAGTCACTGAAATACTGGATCTTTCTATTTTTTCTTTTTTGCTGTAAAATAGCCAAGACACACATTTGCTATAAACCAAGGGCACGAGTGTGAGTTTCCCATTACGTAATCAGCACATCTTGAATACTCGCTGGAATAAGCACAGGCCTGAGGCCAGAGTGTTATTGCTTAAGAAGAACTGCAGTTATCATCTCTTTCTTTTTTATCGTCAAAGATGCAAAGTCAAAGACCTACAAGAAGATGTTCTGAAGGACATGTCTGCACTTGGGAGCTATATCTCAGATAGTACACATTATGTGTTAATCTTCTGCAAAGAATTTCAGGTGACCACCTTTGTGCTCTTAGTGTTGTTCCGAGGCAGAGGGGACTTAGCGCTAACACTGGCATTTTTCTAGCTATTTTCAAGAGTTCTGGCAGGAAAGTTTCCTTATAAAATCAAAGACCTGGAGCAACATAATGAAAGATGCCAACAGCTTAACCTCTTTGGGAGCTGTCAGAGCCTGGGTGTGGCAGCACAGACCAACACGACCCTTTGCAGGAAGGCCACCTGACCCCATGCCCACATCTGGGGAAGGAATCTAGTTTCCATAGCCTTCTTCCCTTTGGTGGCCCCATTTCCTGACCTTCAGGCTGAGGCATGGGCTGCAGGAGCACAGGGTTCAGATGGTGGAGAGGGCTGGTGCCTGACGGGAAGCAGAGCAACTGCTCAGATGTGTCTGGGGTTCTGCTGGATTGGGGGACAGCAAAGGCTCGCACAACCACTGTGCCACTTGCCTTCCCACCCCGTCCCATCAGAACTGACATGCAGAGACCTGCAGTTATGTGATGGCAGAGAGACTTTGTAGCTTTTCAAAGACATGGAAGCTAATAGCACTTGCTCTTATGCTATGAGAACAGAAAAGTGAATTTGAGATGACTGGGTGAAGAATTCCAAAGGAAAGGGGGAAAGAAAAAGAAGTTCCTACAAGTGAGGACCTGAACCAAACAGATGAGCAAAGGGAACAGAGGAGTCTGCTTTTCTTGGATTCGTGGTCTGGCTGTAAATGCAGGCCTGTTTCTCCTTATCCCTCAGGGTTCATCGTGGGAATGCACACGCGGTTGCTTCTCCCAGGCCTTCCCGTGACCCAGAGCAATTTCTACTAGTTGGCTCCACATGGGGTCAAAGTAATATCCTTTAGTTTACTCTTTTCAAATCTTCACTGATGTTGATTTCTGAAATTACCGTCCCTGAGGGAAATGTCCTGGTGTGGAAGCTCCCATTTTATTAGTGCTACAAGGGGCAAAAGAGCCCATTCCACACCGCAGGGGAAAATTCCAAGGTTCAGCGACACTGTGATCCATGACAGTATCGTAAGACATTTGCAAGCAAAAAGCATGTGACAGAATCCATGTGTCCTTCCCGCAAGCTAAGAACTGAGAGAGTTCAGAAAACACACACTGGATTTGCAAGGATAGTTCCCACCTGAGGGGTGTGGACACGTGGGGAGTGTGGGTGGGTGGCTGGGGACCAGGCTTCTCAGGCGGTGCTTCCTGGGGCTGGAGGGCTGGGCACGTACCGGGCAGGTGGAGAGGCTCTGCTCCCACTGGGTCATGCTCAGGCTCTCCTCCAGGCTTGTGCATTTCTTCATCACCACGTCCCAGCCGCAGTAAGGGTCCTGGGCGCCAATGCAGGTGCTGGAAACACAGCAAAGGGTCAGCAGAGGGGCAGCTTTGCCTAGCCTGTCCCTCTCGGAGCAGGCACAGAGACAGCTATGAGCACCAGAGAGCATTTAGTCTGCACAACATAGCTACCTGTACATTCTAGTATCTAGTAACACATTGCTTATTTTGATAGAAATGTGCATTTTTTTTCCCCAGCATACTGGACAGATGAGTCCACACTAACAAGAGAATTTTGATGTCATGAGCTGAGCTAAAGTTAAAATTTTCCTGTGCTCAAAGACAAAACAGTTATTCTCACCATCCGTACCACCCCTGCCAACGTGATCATCATTAGCATCTCCTTCACAATGGGCACCATTTATTGAACACACACAAATGTATGAACTCCAAGAAAATCACTATATTACCTGGACACTTGTCTCGAACAAGCGAGTCCAAGTATCCCTCTTTACCACTGTCACCACAAACAGCAACAGCATCACAGCCATCATAAATGCCGTTGCCGCTTTACCGATTAGATAACTGAGGCAGAGACAATTTGAGAAACTGCCCCAAGGAAAAGCATGAACATCTAAAATGCTTCAATGCAGTTAGCTGAAATTCAATGCAATAGGGATATCTTCCTTTTGAGTACCGTAACATATATTCAAACTTGCAATACACATAGCTGCATCTATAATATCCACCATATTACATCACGAGTGGCAGATGGTGAATATTTTATATACAACATGGATTATTAGATGAGGATTAGGTCCTCTGCATTACAAATACAAAAGAGATAAATTGAGGGGATGGGAAAGAAACAAGGATCACTGTGAGAAGCCAAAAAAACACAGGGAGGTGAAGCCAGCCACAGGCCTACTGTCCCTGTCACAGGGTGAGGAAGCCAGTTGGAGCAAGGGAGGACTTTATAGGGCTACCAGGCCACCCAAAGCAGGGCCAAAAGTCACAGCTCAACCATCAAGCAGCAGGCAGGGAGGTGGTATAAGTATCAAGTTGCTGATGAGAATAACGCAAGGCAGCCACAGCACATGGAACATGGCAGTCCTAAGTAAGGCCCTGCTTTGGGGACCGGGTCATTTAAACCACACAGCAACCTCCTAAACACAGCACCTGGATTAGACACAGCATTCCCTTCCATTTCCTTTTGTATTACCATTCTTTTCTTTCTTTTATTCTTAGAGAAAGGAAACCCAGCTTTTTTAATTTGGGAACGAGCAAATGAGTCGCGCTTCCTGAACTTGCACGTTATGCTCGCTCAGGGGCCGTGCTCACCTTCTCTGCCTCATTACTGTTCAGCACCTGTTCTGCATGGTGAGCACCTGTCCCGTTTTTAAGACAAAGACTCGAAACAGGGCAAAACCAACTTCAGAATCACACCATGAGAACGTGCATTTACAGAGGAGACATGGAGAGATGGGGGTTGAAAACTATGCTTTACTAAGTTATTACGCAATGATTATTTATAAACTACCCAAGAAGTTCAGACAGAAAGGGTTAAAAGGGCTTTTTCCAGCAGTACGGATAAGGGAGGGTGCAAAGGGATCCTAACAACCTCCTGTCACAGCAACCCCAGGACTCTGCCATGTGCATTTATTACTTTCATTAAAAAACTCAAGCCAGACTATTATAAAGGCCAACCTGGAAGCTTTCCACCAAGGGGAAGCACTGCTCACGTTAATGTAAATATGCTGGAGATACTTCTCCATGCCTCGGTGAGCATGCTTGTATGCACATATCTCTGCGTCCTAAGTAACTCACACCTTAAAGAAAACAGACCACTGGGAGATTCTGTTGGCTCCTTTACCGGAGAGAGGTAAATTCTAAAATATAACAATATTTTTAGAAGAGGTGAAAGAAGCACCTCCATGTTGATGTTTAATGCAGAATTACTATAAATACTTAGAAATTTTAGCTCATCAGGCCCTCCTACAGGACTTAATCACAGAGATAACCTGTCCCGAATGAACACTGTAGCCTTGCTTTTTAAAGGAGAAATATAATAACATGTAATATCTTGTTACTAGTGTTTGTGTGCAGTGGTATGATTTATATTGTTACAGATAATGTGCACGCATGTGATCACACACACACTGATCATGGTTTGCTGTCTCTACCCAGTGATCTATCACGACATTATTCTTGTCAATAAATACAGCTCCACCTCATTCTTTTAGTAACCAACACTGACTTAAATTTCTCCTTTAAAAAGCAAGGCTACAGTGTTCATCTGGGACAGGTTATCTCTGTGATTAAGTCCTGTAGGAGGGGATGATGAGCTAAAAGTTCTAAGTATTTGTAGTAATTCTGCACTAACCATCAGTATGGAGGTGCTTCTTTCACCTCTTCTAAAAGTATTGTTATATTTTAGAATTTACCTCTCTCTGGTAAAGGAGCCAACAGAATCTCCCAGTGGTCTGTTTTCTTTAAGGTGTGAGTTACTTAGGACACAGCACATGCATGTGCACTTATCAGTCATTTGCATTCCTTCTGTGTAGCTTTTCTCCATTTCCAATTCCAGCTGGATGTCTTTACAGGTCATTGGTTTTCCTCAAGGTCATCAGAAAGGACAACTTCTATACTGAAATTTATCTCTCTGTGAGTAATATTTATCTGTCATTAAATCTTCTTACAAAGTTTATAAAATTTCTTTTATAAGTAAAATGGGTGAACATTTTCCTTTCTGTCTCCTAGATTCTGTGTGCTATGTTTAGAAAGATCTTCCCACTGACAAAGTATAGAAACAGTGACCCTGGGTCCTTTTGATTCTTCTATCACATCATTTCATTTGCCTCTGTTTTTGATCTAGTGAAGTATATTTCTGTAGCTCTGTTTTCCTTCCATCCTCAAGAAAAAGAAAAGAAAAACACATCCATACATAGATATTTTCAGTGTAAACTTCTTAAAACTTTCCTCCAACACAAGCAGAGTCAGGCATAAGGATTCAAGAATGACTTATTTTTTCCTTTTCTACCAAATCGAGACACCATCTGTTTAACATAGAAATTTATTACAGAGATGTGAACATCTGCTTCTTAATGTGTCTAGTTTTTTTTAAATTTTGGAGTTATAATTTCTAATAACTTAATTAAAATATATTCTATAATCAGTGCCATTGAATAGAATCTACCTGTATTTCTATTATATAAAACAGATTTTATATAAAAATCTACCAAAATTTCTTGATTTTAAGATATACAAATGATTTAGTAACATCTTCCCCTGGGCCTAGGGACATGAGAACAAAGCACCATAACTGCACAGGACAAGAGGAGGGTGCATTCCTGATCAAGGTACTAAGGACGGAAGTCAGCAAGTCCTCCCTCAGTACCTGTGCACATACAGCTGTTCCCCTGTAGGATCGCCCTGTGTGCAATCTCATCTTTAAGTTGGTGGGTAGATACGGCAACGCTGCACTTGGAGAAGCCTTCTGGGGGAACATTCTAGAGACTCCTGCCTTTCTCCAGGCCTCCCCCCTGCAAAGCTGCCTGGAGACTGAAACAAGGCCACCGAGTCCCAGGGAAGGAGCACAAGCTTTCCCATCAGGGTCCTCCAGAAACCACACACTCTCTTCCTCTAATGCTTGCGGTTCTGCAGGATCTTAATATTCCACTTCCCCCTTAAAACAGTAAGGCCTCTGTCCAGGCACAAACGCATGCTCAGTGCAAACACCATGTAGAGATCAACACAATCTCCTCATCTAAAATATTTCACACTGTGGCGAAATTTTGAGGGGCTCTCCCTTGATTCTAAATTGTACTTGAAGAAAACCCAATCTTCATGCATTATTCCTTTTGGAAGCTGGGTCTCTCAATTAGACCACATGGAAAATCACGGGCTTTGATGAGTGTCACCATTATGAAGGGGACTTTCTTTATGCTACTTTGAAAGTATTTTTCCTTGTGTGATGAATGGTTTTAATAAAAATACTAGCTCGATTCAACCATTTTCTATTGTTACATACATAATAATTTTACTTTGTATCTAATGACTATATAAATTATATTTTGTCAATATTCAAAAATATTTCATTAATTTGCAAATAACCTTACCTTATTCTCATTTTATATATTGCCCAGGTATTTGAAAGAATCTGAATTCAGAGAACAATGTCAGTCGGAATCCAAAGGTTTAATTTTGAAAACTCATTTATGGAGAGTATGTTTTAGAGTTAAATGTTCTTAGAGACGGGCTTTAATTTTATAAAAGTATTCATATTTAGTTTAAATTACACGTATTACTGGGATAATAGGAAGTTCAATACATGTATAATTGGGAAGTGTTTAAATCAGATTAAACATATGTCTATCTCCTCCAATATTCACCATTTGTTTGTATTGAAAACTTTTAAAATCCTTCCTTCTAGCTTTTTGAAATCGCATTCATTACTGTTACCCATGGTCACTAGCTGTGCAGCAGCACACAGGCTTTACTACCATCTAATGGTAACTTGGTAGCCATTAGTCCACCTTTCCCCCTCCCCAGCTCCCTCTCTCAACTTCTAAGAGATAAACATCTTTAGATTCACATATGAGTCAGATCCTGTGGTGCTTACTTCCTGAGTCTGGCCTCTTGCACTTTTCACTAGCATAATGATCTCTAGTCCTATTCACATTGTCCTGAGTTACAAAGTTTCATCCTTTTTTCATAGCTGGATAGTATTCCACTGTATATATGTGTCACATTTTCTTTGTCCATTCTTTAATTGATGAGCACTTAGGTCATTTCCTTTTCTAAGCTTTTTTGAATAGTGTTGCAATAAATAGGATTGCAGATATCATGTAGTGAATTTCAGTACTTTTAAAGTATTAAAAACTATTTACCATTGTCTTGCCATAAATAACAGTGATACACATAATGACAATTTTTCAAATTTAAATTTGTTTTAATATTAAATTGAACTAATGTAAACTAAAAATTGATCTACTGTATGACCCAGCTATAGCACTTCTGCATATATATATATTTTTTTTTCCAGAGGAAATGAGATCAGCATGCCAAAGGCATAC